GTCCTCGAGATCCCTTGCTGAAATGTAAGGGGAGCTCGGCACAGCTTGGCCATTCGCATCCTTGATGACAACTCGTGAGACTCTGTTTGGTGTTTGGGAGAGATCGAACAGAAAGAGGTTTTCTGATCCGTCTGTGCCCGTGACAAGCGCACCCTTAACTTGGGAGGTTACGGGTTCCGCCAGACTTGATCCCGAGTATGACCATGTTTGGGCATCTGGATTAAACTGATAAACGTTGGTGTTGGTGTCACCGCTGATCATGAAAGCACTCGAATCACCCCATGGCAGGAGGATTGGCTTCAATGCCGCGGGAGCACTGGCAGGAAATCCTGTGACGGAATAGGGCTCTGAGGCCTTGATGAGAAACGTCTCCTGGCCGGCCTGCCCATCCTTTCCTCCACCAAAAACGAGGATCGAGTCTTTTGACTTGATGTACGCCGAACTGTGGCCCAGGCGGTCCTTGACAACTGAGTCTCCGGGGTGAATGGCCGTCCATTTTCCCGTAGAAAAGGTGTATTTGATCAGACCCGTGGTGCCACCGGTGCCACCAATGACAAAGAACCCAGCGTTTGCAGAATCGGCTGTTGATCCTACACAGGTACCACCAGTCACACTCTCACCAAGATCGAGTTTCTGCCATTCCGCACCCTCGCTCAACTTCAGCGATAGGAAAGCACTTGGTGTATATGAGTAAAGTGTGCCACCCCAGACGACCGAACACGAGCCGTCCAGTGACGAAGGAGGCTCCGGTAATCCCATTGCAGTTATCGCCAGCCTCAAAACCTTCGTTCTCAAGGTGTCGCAAACCAATGAAGCTGTTTCTCTCTGAGTCCTGTTGTGGGTCAACCTCGCATGACGACTGTTTTGGCGAAATTATTCAAGGCCGGCTTTTTATTGTTTTATTTTGTTTTTTGTTGCAATTGGATTTGTGAAGAATGATTGAGATGTGGTTGTTCCTGTCGACCAAATGATTGTTGAATGTCGATCCTCAGGGCGACGCGTAGAATGAAGAAAGCAACCGGCTTCGTGATTCGTACACCAGGGAATCTGTGGTTATAAAGGGATTAGATACCCGATGAAAGGAAGCAGAGTCACGACTGTATGGCTGGCAGAGCGTCGTGTAACTAGACTCGGCGGGCGATGTATATCGCGGTGGCAGGCGAAGTAAAAAGAGAGTGAGATGTCGCGTTGTAGAAAACAGAGTGGTGAAGCGTGTGCTCGAAATGTCTGAAGAATGTTTCGGTCGTAGAGAATGTTCGACGTGTCTCGAGGTTGGCAAGAGGTGGACGAGACATTCGCTAGGGCACGCAGTAGCAGTAGCGGGTGTAAGTGAGTCGGTTGTCTCAAGGGCCAGGCGATCTACGGGATTAAAGACACCAACGAAAGCAACCGCGAAAAGAAGAAACAGATCGTGCCGCTTTCTCGTGCCAGACGGGTGCCGCAAGCTGGGGAAGATCGTGAAGGAAAGAGAGATGCAACGCAACAGCAGGCTGTGCAGAAGGTGGTTAGATGTAAAGCAGGCAGAGCGACATGGCAGTGGTCTCAAGGTGGGACGGGGCTTTGGGGCAGGAAAGGGGGGGGAGGCGTAGGGGAAGAAGGAGCCGTGGCGGGTCCTTCTTGTCTTTGCTTGCCTTCAGTTGTGCATCAGTCCAAGCATGGGCAAGAGCCAGGTCTAGCTACTCTCAGGTAGGTACCTAGGTAAGGGAGCTGTTGTGACAGGCTCAGCGCACATCCTAGGCGTCCAGGAAACCCGGTCTGCGGGCAGCCAGCGGCGGGACTACTGGCGCAGGTACCTGATTCAGGTACGTCTGTGCTTCGTACGACTTTTCTGTAGGTGCTGCAGCATCCGCGCGCTGGCTACCTCACCTTCAACAGGTACTACAGGTATAATAGTGCCTCCATATTAGCTACCACCCAGGTGGTCATCCTTGCTCGGGTGGATAAACCTGAAGCGATTCGCAGGGGCCCTGGGGGGCGGACGGCTATCCGCCTGCCCACTGGGCACTTAGCCCAATGACTGGCGACATCGCCTCCAGGCGGTGCTTCGAACTTGTCCCCAGCATCCATGCTGTGACGATGGTCAGGGCATCGGTACGTCCGTTGTCCAACATCTGGTGGCCATCTTGCGAGTGGTTAATTAATGATAATTACGCTTCTGCCCCGAGGTGGTTGATGGCAGCTCTTCTTTCGACGGACAATGTCGAGAACCAGCTCTGGCGCCGGAGGGTGACAGCGCCCATGAATCACCTGCGACCAGCCACTCCGCGTCTTCATGCGGTGCGGTGTCTCTCCCTAGATGACAACCCTGTCCTGTTTCGTATTCTGTCTCTGCAACATGGAGTCTTGTGACTGAGCACAGCTTCCTCTGCAACTCTATCTATGCCCGTTTCGTTGAGCTAGCGCCAGCAGTACATATTCACATCACATCCATCTGCTTCTTTCTCGCCAGCTCAGTCGAGCGCTGGTCTCGCACTAAGCAACTGCCTAGGCCTGACTGACGTGATCACCTTGCGTGCCTGGGACAGTTCACCCAGCCTGGGGTTGGGTCCTGGCCCAAAAGCTACAAAGGGCGCGCGCGCTGGCCAAGGCACCGTCACCAAGGATTGAGATTGAGCGCCCCCAGCTCAAATTTATGAACACGCCCAGCCTCTAGGTGTCTCTGCCAATCATCCGCCAGCATCTCCTCGCAGCTCGAATTTTTCCACCCAAGACACGGCAATGCATAAACGCAAAGCATGTGCTTGTGGCAACAGCAGAGGATCCAGATGCATCGCCATTGGCATCATCCATCAATATGCCATAGAGGTGTGCTCAAGAAGAAGCAAAACTAACTCCATGGCCCGATTCTTACCTACACGAGCGAGTCCCGTACCCGCCCGAGGGCCGTCAGGTGATGTCGATACATAAACCGCAGCAGAAAGAAGCAAAGTGTGACGGGCGGAGTGGTGGTGAGTGATGGATTAGACTGTGCAGGGCAGGCGTAGCACACCGTCGCGATGCAATGCGACGAAGCAATGATGCGCCGCGACTATATGCGCTAGGCCCGGGGAGGCAGTAGCTTGAAGATGTCCCGAGACAGATTCGCCAATCACAGCCCAGCCATCCCGCCCTTGTCTGCCCGCTCATTCGCTAGTGCCGCCTGAAACATGCCACCCCCAGCACGTAGACTCACCACTTGCCAGGCGTGCTGCCACACCCCGGCTGCCCCCCCAGCACGCCAAGAGGTTCCGAGGGTCGTATCGTCGGCCCCTGAAACCGCTTCCCCCTCAGAACCCCTCCATCCCCACCTATATCTCACCAATCCAAGTCCCATCCTGGCCCCGATCCTGGCTCAACTCTCAACGGTCGCTCGAAGGAGCCAGCAATCCCACCTCTCCGGGCTGCCTCGTCCGGAAGACTGGCCTTTCGGCCCCATCCATCTACCGGCAATTTCTGTCATCTGTTGTTGGTTGTGTGGTCAAGCTGCAGCAAGCTCCAGCGAATAATGCACGCCGGCGCATGCACTCTCATCTGATCCCCATTGCCGTCTGATGTCATTGCAAATTATGTGCATCCAACGACGGCCAACTTTGGGACGCAATGCTTTCGGGCAGCATCGCGTGCACAGGGCATTGTTTGTCAGGCATGGGAAACACTGGCCTGTCGTCCCAGAACCACCCAGCCGGCACTATCGTTTTGGAGCGTCTGGACCCGGGCTCAAGGGGCTTCCTCGTTGGTACCAAGTTCTAGAGCCCTTAGCACTTTCCACTTGAGCTACTGCAAAACAAAACAAACGTCTGTCCGGAACCCTGATGCGCAACAGCCCGTCAGAGCCAAAAATCCCTGTTGATTATTGATCATCCGGAATATGGTTTTGTCATGACAATGCATAATGTAGATCATTCACGGCTGGGGGCGATTTGCAACAGCTCTGCGTCGGGAAATTAGATGGCCCTATCAATGGCTAAACTAATAAGAGTAGGTAGGTGCCCTATCGCCGTGTATTGGTCTGATGGCTGCGCGATTCGCATTATGAGCTTAGTCCTTATTGTAATTGTTGTTCTGATTGGACTTTCCCAAAGTACTCTCCCAGGCGCTGTGCATCTTCGACCTCGACACCAAGGTAGGCAGTGTTGAATATTCTTGATCCAAGATTCACAACCTCCCATGTGACCAAATAAATTTCCATAAAAACCCCCCATAATTGGAGGAATGCAAGCGCCACTAGTAGCCATCACCAATATTATAATTTCGAGTCCCCTACTGAAATGATCACACAAAATTCCCACCCTCCCTCTCCAAGCGCGCGGCATCAAGAAAGGTGATGGGGTGCAGGGTAGGGATTGGATGTCTAAGGTGGGCACCAGCTTGAAGTCGCTAGCGGAGCTATTCTCTAATCCCAGGCCTCACAGCTGAGCTAATGCATGCCCAATCATGAATGGCGTCAGCCATCTACGGCTGAAGCGCAATTTATTAGTGAATTGATCAGTCAGATCTTATCTACGTGGATTGAGAGCGATGATATCATTGCAATTAGAGACGAAAGTGCTAACAGCAAAACACAACACCAGCGCTTTACCTACCTAGGCAACTTTGAGAAGTGATTCCTCCCACATGCCTAGGTACTCTTACCTTGCGACAGAGTCGCGATAGCATTAGGTAGGTATCGGCTTAAGCCCCCGTTTCGCACATCACAACATGCACAGCACTCCGAAGGACGGGAAACCGTGTTAAAATAAAAATGCCAGATCCAAAACTGTAACATTGCGAGATCCATTGTTTCACTCATTTATGATGCTTGCCTCCTACTTCGTGGGCGGCGGTACCCTTGTTTCTTCTTGCATTTGTCCCTGATGCTGTATCCCCCTCATAAAAAAAAAAACCCTTCGATCCCCTATCCGTTCGCTATAATGACAATAATATATTCAGTTCCAAATCTAAGTATGATTGACCGTTCTCCATGTGGGTGGACCGTTTCGAAATTGAAACATGCTTGAAGTGTGGGCAGATATCTCCTACCCCTACTGTGGCATTGCGATGAATGCCTCCGCAGGTAACTGCGACTACATAAATATCAGTAAACAAGTAATAGACACATCCGGGTTCGGGTAGGAAGCATTTGGCACTTACCTTTTTTTCGTTGAATATCGCCAGGGCCTTTTCGAAGTCCCAGTTGACTTGTGTGAGGCACATTTCCGAGTACTGCGCAGTCATTCCTGTGCGCTTGGAAAGTTCCGCAACCATGGCTTGTTGCTGATTCGGTTGCTCAGTTGGTTGGGGGTTTGCCGCCGCAAAGACGTTTGGAAGCGGGTTGTAGGCTCGGAGAGAGAGCATATCGCTCACAACCCGAATGGGCACTGTCCCTGGTCGACCAGGACCCAGAACGAAGGATCGAGAAAAGCTTCGGAGGCCGGTTCTTTGTGTCTGCTGGTCGCATTCTTCGAATTCGCCATGGACGCACACGATCAAGCCGTCAACGCCGACGGAACTTTGTCCGCTGGGGTCGACTAACCCAGGAAGTGGATGGCAGTCCATGATGTACTTGCTCATGTTTTCCTTGATTGATGGGTGTTTTGTGAATGGAAGCGACTTCCACAACTCGGATATCAAGTTGGTGCCCTTGAAGAGTCGTTGGAATCGGGCGTTGGGTGATCCAACCTTTGTTAGGTTTCGTGAAGTTTTGATGTAAGATGCCCAAGGCATCGGGGGTGGTGCTTTAGAATCCCTGACACCGGTAGTGTCAATCGATAGAGAGAATTGGCTGCTCTCATCGTAGAGCCTGGAGGCTAGGCCATGTCGGTCGTTGTCATAGGCAGCGAAGAACTCGAGTAAGAAGTTCTCGCCGATCCCATTGACGTCTCTGAAGTCTGGGCCATTCTGCCGGATTGGTGTAGGGAACATGGCGGCCTTCTGTTCGGCGATTTGTTCTGGCGTCCTCAACTGTGTACCGTTGATACTTTGTAACTGGGGGAACCACTCAAGCATGTTTGCCTGATAGTTGGGATCCGTTGACTCGATTGGGTTGCCCGCCATGTAGATTGTTTCGAGTTCTCGGAATTTTCCCTTCCATCGGCCGAGGCCTTGCATGTTGCTGATTTGGTTCCCGCTCATATCTAGGTTCTTGAGCTGAGGGAATGTGGTTGCCACGCTTTCAACTTGCGTGACATCATCAATGTTGTTGTTTGCGAGACTGATGCTCTCAATGGCGTCTTGCTTGTCCTTTGTTGTCTTGAAAAGACCATCGCAGATCGCCATAAGACCCTTGAAAGTCTTCAACGCCCTGTCCCGGTTTTCAAACATACCCAGGCTGACTAGCTCGGTGTCAGTTGCAAGCATGTCAAGCTTTAGCAACTTGTTTCCGCCGATGTAGCGCTGGCTCAGGATGGACTGTAATTTGGCTCGAAGCTCCTGTGTGTCCTTGGACTCGGTAGCTTTCCCGCCGTTGTGGCCAAGTCCATCGTCAGACTCGATAATCTCGAGTGGACTGCCGGCAAAAACGAAGGTGTTGACTTTGAGGAGCTCCTCGGCATCCTCCTTGCTGGTTCCTATGAAGAAGTAGTCGCCTACGAGGTGTGACTGTTGCATGTTAGCAGGAAACAAGGATTTTGCTTTACATTTGCGTTTGAAACAGCGCTATCTGGCCAAGTAACAGGCATCTGTCGTGTAGCTGAATGACTTTGAGTGATTTGCTTCGCGCTAGATATATCGCCCATGTAGAAAAACTCGCGCCGATAACCCACATGTTCGATCAACTTACTTTCTTAATCAAGACGTGCCGTTTTTGTCGTCCTGAGGTGAATGCTGATGCTTTCCTTTCTAAAAATGCGAGTAGATCGGCTCTTCCGCCGTCTGGGTTTTTTGAGGCTTTGCTCTCCTTCAGTCCATGAACACGCAAATATACCAATGGGCCACTGCTGATGGGCTTTGACTTGGCGGCACGGATGTTGGCGGAGCCAGTGATGCGAGATGCCAGCTGTGAATTTTCTCCATTGTTTAGGTGTTTGATCATGGTCTGCGCGGCCCTCGAGACTCCTCGGGAGTTTGTTCCTCTGGCAGGCCGGGTCGATGACATTTTGGAATCAGCAGATGCCCCTGCCCTTGGGCGGCGGGTGGCCGAAGTTCCCATGTCTAGATCTCCATCGGTATCGATGCGCGTGGAGCCTGCTCGACGTTTATGGATCCCCCCTCTCGATGTCGACTTTGAATTCAGTGCAGAGCTCCTGGTTTCTCGCCCAGCTGAGGCCTGGGACCTGGATCCGCGTGGGGCCATCTTGCTGATTGAGGTCGCGAATCGTGCTGATGCGCTTGGGGGGTTGAATCGAAAGTTTGCGCGGTAGGTTCGCTGCACTCGAAAAATGGAAGGAATCCTATATCCCGTGTTGCAAGCGACCTGGGCGACGATATCGATCCAAGAAAGAGTACCGGCAAGATGAGGGGAGATGCGCGACTGCACGTTGGGTCGAGATTCGGTTGCAAAGGGATCAAGCTTTAAATGCAAGGAGAGGATAAGTGGCTTGAAGGCCGGAAATTATCCTTCCCAACAAAGAAGTACAACAGAGAAAAGGGAAAGAAGCACTTTGTAGGATGGATGAAGGTGCTTTGACTGAGGTATGAAGAAAGTAAGTGTAAAAAGCGTGTCGAAGTGGGCGGACCGCAAAAGTTCAGTGACGTTCAGGTTGATTGACTGGGAGCAGCAACAAGTGGTCTAACCGGATTAGGATATGAGTCACACTCAAAATAGACTAGTGTGGCTGGATTACGTTATTGTCGATACTTGGTCCCTTTCATATGTCAATGCTTGAATAGGAACAATGCCTGGCAAAGAAAGGAATGAATGAGAAAGCCTAGGAAAAATGAGATAGAAGAGAAATGCGACGAGAACACAGAAGACCGACACTTAGAACATCGTGAGTCCGGTTCGCATTTCCGATAAAAGCCTTGTCAAAACATCACAAACTGAAGGCTGTTTTACCCTTGTGGAAGACTGGTTGCCTAACTCTTTAGGCTGCAGCAGTCTGCCTAAGATGCACACGTGACCTGGCATTCGTTTCGCGCGTCATTAGTCCACTTTCAGAGCACCGACACGCGTTGATGGGAGTATCCCAGAAGGTGTCTTTGCGGCCATCCTCGTAGATGCAGCAATTGAAGCTTTTGGAAACTGCGAATCGGAAAAGAATCTTTAAATTAAACGCAGAAACTTCCCCTTCATCGGTTTATTTTCTTTCTTGAAAATTCCAAACGAAAATTGTTATCGGAATGTCGACAATGTGAAGGAACACAAGCCTTGTGGACGTTGATCATTTGTGGCATTTCACCACACAATATGGAGAGCGACGAGTTTGACGATGGCCTTGCTGATGAGGACCTCATGGATGTTCTGGATAAAGCCTCCTCTTCAGCGAATCACCAGAGTTCTGCAGGACCAACCTCAAGTGCCGCCGCTATCGCTGCCGCTGTTGCAGAGCTGGATGGTTTACCTTCCGACGCATTTTCATCTCCAGAGCCATTTCAGAATAACAGCTCGATAAGCCATAACTCTAGGCCTTCACAGCCTCCACCGAGAATTGGGCTAAATCGTTCAAACTCCTCGATCCTACGCCAGACCACGCTATTTGGTGGGCAAGCGTCCACGGGTAATGAGCCCTGGTTGTCTCAAACCCAAACCACGAATACAAGAGTTTATCGTGTAGATCTTCCACGAGAAGAGCCGACTCATCACGAACTTGAAAAAGAGGCAATGCAGACTTGGGTTTACCCTACCAATCTTGGTGCTATCCGTGACTATCAGTTCAGTATTGTGAAGAACAGCCTGTTTAACAATACACTGGTTGCTTTGCCTACTGGACTTGGAAAAACGTTCATCGCTGCTACCGTTATGTTGAATTTTTACAGGTGGACAAAATCTGCCAAGATTGTATTTGTTGCTCCGACGAAGCCCCTTGTCGCGCAGCAAATCGATGCATGCTACAACATTGCTGGCATTCCACGCTCGGAAACGACATTATTGACTGGAGATATAAACCCGGCAATTCGAGCAGAGGAGTGGGAACAGAGGCGTGTTTTCTTCATGACACCGCAGACACTCATGAATGATCTTTCCCATGGATACGCCGACCCCAAAAAAATCGTGCTTCTTGTGGTGGATGAAGCACACCGTGCTGTTGGCGAGTATGCCTATGCAAAGGTTACCAAGTTCATTCGCCAATTTTCCAACAGTTTGAGGGTGCTCGCCTTGACCGCTACACCTGGGTCAAAGGTCGAGACAGTGCAGGAGATCATTGATAATTTGGGAATCTCGCACTGCGAAATACGAACTGAGGAGTCCATTGATATTCAGCAATATGTTCACCAGAGAAATATCGAACAGCAGGTTCTGGACCCATCGGAGGAGATGGTTCATGTCAGTGACCTCTTCACCAAGGCCCTTCAACCATTGGTGGACAAGCTCAGCGCACAAAACGTTTACTATGGACGCAACCCGATGGCGCTCACAGCATTCGGCCTCCTGCAAACGCAAAAAGAATGGTTCGCCACGAGAGGGAGGGGTGCGAACCAAGGTTTGCAAGGCATGATGAGAGCCATCTTCAGTGTATTGACGAGCATTGCCCACTCTATCAAATTGCTCAATTTTCATGGAATCAAACCATTCTATGACAATCTGAGCGACATGCGTAAAGAACAGGAAGCGCAAGGGCAGAAGGGCTCCAAGTACCGGAGACAACTCATTAATGACCCCAGTTTCCAAGAAATGATGGACATTGTTGCTAAATGGCTTCGTACTGATGGGTTCGTGGGCCACCCCAAGCTTACAGCTCTGGCTACTTGCGTTCTTAACCATCTTGTTGATACTGGCGAATCAACCCGCATCATTGTATTCAGTGAATATCGAGATTCGGCTGAGGACATTGTCCGGATGCTTAACAAACACCGACCGCTTGTCAAGGCCAGCATCTTTGTTGGGCAGGCTGACGGGAAGCGTGCGGAAGGAATGAAGCAAGCGCAGCAAATCGAAACGATCGAGAAATTTCGAAGGGGCGATTTCAATGTGCTTGTGGCTACTTCAATTGGTGAGGAAGGATTGGATATCGGACAGGTCGACTTGATTGTTTGCTACGACTCGTCGGCCTCGCCTATCCGAATGCTCCAGCGCATGGGTCGTACAGGCAGAAAGAGAGCCGGTAATATCGTTCTTCTGCTGATGCGAGGAAAGGAAGAGGAGCAGTTTGCAAAATCCAAAGACAACTACGAAAAGATGCAGAAACTGATCTGCGAGGGAAGTCGGTTCAACTTTCGGTTCGACCTTTCCAGGCGGATCCTACCAAGGGATGCTCGACCAGAGGTCGATAGACGTCGCATCGACATCCCCATAGAAAACACACAGGATGCATCTCTTCCGGAGCCGAAGAGGCGGCGTGTACCGGGAAAGAAGAAGCCTCCAAAGAAGTTTCACATGCCAGATGGGGTGGAGACGGGGTTCAAGACATTGTCAGCCTGGATGGGCACAGCTTCTTCCAAAACCACCAGCAAAGTGTCAGCGCCGAAAAAGAATCCCGAGTTGAGTGACCTGACTGCCATTCCGGATTTGTCTTCGGTGGTCCTTAGTAGCGGGGAGCTTAAGGATCTCGACCGGCTATATCGTGACCTTCCTTTCAACAATAGTGCGGTTGAGGAAACAAATATGCCTAGCCTGGTGGCCTTTCCTAGGCTTCAAAAGAGGCTCCGGCCTGTGGGTAGAGTAAAACACGGGGACCGCACAAAGAATTGCGTGAAACTCTTGCAAAAAATGGCGCGACCTGATGAAATGGTTAGGGAATGCAGATCGGAAGATCTGAGCAACTATATGGAGATTCCCGTGAAGGCATTCGTAGCTTCCGACTACGAGAGCGACGCAGATGGTAGTGACGCGATGCCCAAACTACCAAAACCTCGAAAGAGGCAAGCTGAACGAAAGACTCCCGCCGGTGGTCAACGGAAGCGAAGAAAAGTACAGGATGCGCCTCTTCTCGAGCCTGATTTAGAAGTGGAAGAGGCTGGTCGTAATACCTTGGATGAAGAAGATGAGGAGAATATAGGCCTGACAGCCCGAATTCGGAAAAAGCCCAAAGCGAAAAGGAAGAAAAGAGCCAAGGCCAGTGGAAAAGGCGCCAGTGATCTTGAAATGGGGGATGATTGTGAGAGAGACAGTGATCTCCTGGAAACGGATGGGTCGGATATGGGCGAGGACCTCCAGGATTTCATTGTGTCTGATAACGTCTTACCCAGCACACAACCTGATGGTTCCATGTCCTCCCCCCCGCAAGCAATCGTCGCCCCAGCCTCGCCTCTACTCATCGTTCTGCCGTGTTCAATCTATCAGCAACACAAGAGAGTGACGACCTTCCTGATCTTGATACGCTGACTGGAAGGAACAAGGAGCCGGGCAAGTCCGTGCCAGGATTGCAAAGAACAGGTAGAGGCAGACGTCAAATTTTAGACAGTGATAGTGACGAGTAAGTGGGACATGATATATACATGTAGAAATATAATTTATCTATCAACGGAATGCAATGGTTTGCGAAATTGGGTCATAAGAATGTGTGTATTATAATTTAGGACTCTATGTGATGAACACATCTAATTTAGAGATAGCAAGTCTTGTAATTCTAGTTGTTATTTCGGTAATCTTTGCGTTGTGCTAACACGGTTGTGTTTCCCTCGCCGAGTCGTTGATCTACGGGATGTCCCTGGAACGGAATTGATGCCTGATTGTCCCGAGTTAGTCTTTCGGTCAAGGACGAAGGTAGAAAACAAGGGCAAAGAAGGAGGTTTTCTCGTGTTTCAGAAACCCGATTTAAAAGCACTACGAACCCTCACCACACCAGCAGGGTCCTACGCGAGCCTCCGCAAGCCGCATATGACGATGCTGACGAGGGATGCGTACCGCGCAGGAGTACACTGCTGGCGCAGCCGAGGAGCTGGCGCTAGCTTGAAGGACCAACGCACAGCCCGAGGGACGTCTCAGACGGCTCTTCCTGTAAGATATAGAGGGTTGTGATGTAACTCATCATTTCGAGAGGAACTTGGGCAGACAGGTGTGTATAATTGAGAGAATCAACTTACCATACGAATTGAGCTTGGTGTGAACAGCCGGGTCTTGTGTCCAGCAACCTACCGTTGTTTGTCAAATGCCATTGTTTGGAAGAGATGGCTCATTGTGAGGTTGGGAAAGGAAGAAAAAATAATCAAAGCTTCGCAGCTTAAAAAGTTGGGCTACGAGTACTTAGGTACATGTACTTGGGCGGTAAGTGGGGACCAGTCACCCAACTTACCCCATAAGCTCGTCATAGCCAATTAGCAGCCAGCGGCGCTCTGTCCCGCGATTCGAGGTGACGTTGGTGAGTGAGTGAACCGCAGTTGCACCACCCCGTTTGTCTCGACCCGGGCGGCCGTTCGAGAACGCCCTCTCTCTCTTTTCTCTAGTCGTGCCTGGCCTTGCCGTGCCTTGCCCTTCCTTGCCTCATTCTCATTTCTGCCTTGTGCCCGCATCTCCACGAGCCAGATTCCAAACCCTCGTCATCAACTCCGACCTGTATCTTCACTCCCTCCTATCCTCTAACTCGGTTGGACTGCGACGACAATACCCGCTATCTTGGGCATCGATCCCGCCGCAACCACCATGACGTCCTCTGGCGTGTCGCTCCTCAAGTTCGTCGGGACCGTGTCCCTCGGTCTGTTGACGGTGAGTCGCTCTTCTCCCGCAATCTCCCACAAGTCTCTCTGCGCTTGAGGATTTCCCAATACCCAGGAGGCATGGCATGTATATCCATGCCTCACCCCGCCTTCGATGGGCTTTCGCCACCTCCACCATCAGCCTCATCCTGCCCGACCGCACTTGCCAGTCATGCATCCGAGGCATCCCCCCTTCAAGTCGCAGTTGTGATGATACAAATCAAAGCTAAATGAGATCGACGCTGACACTGTTTTTTCTTCTTCTTACACAGGGCGCCTCTTACACCGTCTCAGCCTTTGCGTTCCCAACATTCCTCCACTTCCCCTCGTCCGTGGACGCTTCGCGCGCTCTCGTCGACTTCAACTCTCGCCTTCGGATCCCCATTATCGCACTTACGTCGCTCGCATCTGCGCCCCTCCTGCTTTCTTTCGTCCTCTCACCCCGCAATTCCCGACACCCCTACCTCTTGTATACTTCCCTTCTCACTCTCCTCTCCTTTGCCGCGCCAAACTTGGTCGCTCGCCGTGTGCCCGCCCCCGCAGAGCCGGCCAAGAAGAAAAAGAAGACCGCTCCTCGTCCTGTGCGCAACCTGGAGGCTAGCTACGAGGTCCTCGGCGAGGTTCCAAGTGAGGAAACACACAGCGAGGAGGATTCTGACGAGTTTGCCGCCGTGAATGGTGAGGATGTGATAGCAGAGGTCGAGTGGGTAGTCAAGCGCTACTTCCTCAGGACCGGCTTTGCCGCCCTCGGATTTGCCATGGCTGTCGTCGGCATTTGGGGTGATGGTGCTCCTCAGACTGTTTCCTATCTGTCATGAGGGCACTTAATGGCAAGCAGGCACTTGCAGAGTAGTGTGCTTTGAGAGATTTACGGCAGAAGAAACTTATGATGACTGACTGGGCATGGTGAACTCTCTTCTTCTACGTGTATTGGGAATCAAGGGCTTCCCTTTATAAGAAAAAAACTCGCTACATTGATAATTAGGAAAAAATAATAAAAGTAATAAAACTTGGAAAGATTTGCACTGTTTTTTCTTTGACATCGCGAGAATGGTGCTGCGATGCGGGGGGGTGTTGGTGCAATCTGGCACATCCTCCCGTGCCTTCCGTAGGTTTGAGCAACAGTTTGCTCTCTCGCCTGCAAGAGGCGAGCCAGGTTTCAGGATGTTAGGTAAACCAACATCCTGATCCTCTGGAACCTTCCATGGAAGAGACTGCTGGCCTATATAGATAGGTGAAGCCTAGCAGCTCTTCCATGGAGGTTAGCTAGCACTATAACCTAATACATATCTTCAACTGGTTATGAGCTCGGAGTTTCTACTGCGGGTTTATTGCTATTTTTCTTTCGCCTAAACGGCGATCTTTTGTTTTGCCTTACGGCTGCTCACTTTTGCCTCACGGCTTCTCACCTTTGCCTCACGACTTGTTTGTTCTTTTGCCTTGTGGCCAACTTGTTTTCGTCTCACGACGACTCTAGCCTGCGGGCCCGACAAGGCTCACACTACGCCTGTGTTCGCGTTTCTCTGCCGCGCGTGGGAGCCGAGCCCTCAAGGTTTGCCGTGGCTTCATAGGGGAACAAGGGATTTGGTTTGAGGCAAGGGTCTGCACGGTGGCATGGCAAGCAGGACCAAACGCAGTGAATGCCAGGTACAGCAGGGATAATACTGATATTGAAACTGAATTATTATGAAACGGCCTTGGTCAGCTGGCTGCCTGCTTTTATTTAAGATGCCAATCAATATTTACAAAGCCGTATAAATTTCCATACGATTCTGAGTTAATCGAGTCGGCAGCCCTGGACCCTGGCCGGTGTGCTGCCATGGTTATGTAGATATCTGTGGTACAGGCGGTCCTGATGCAGGTAGCCCTCAAAATCCTCGATCTAATGTCTGTGGTGTTGATGTCTAGTGCCAATGGCCTTAAGTGTAGCGAGCGCTTTCATATCTTGGAAACCACCAGTATTGTGGAAATGTTTGCCAATCCAAACTGTTATACTGGAGAAGGCTGCCATGGGCCGACGCACTTATACAGCTGGGTTTGTATCACAAACCGGCAACTTGTAACAAGGTGACGCCAGCTTGTATTCACTATCTATAAGAAACCTCTATCTAGAGCTGAGCTGAAGGTGAGCCGAAGGTGAACAGATGTTATCTTAGACGAAACTTGATTGTGCGCTCTTCCCAGCTGAATGGTAGAATTTATATATATCTAGCATTCTGCCTGACTCATTTCTCACTTAATTCACATCATACAGCACCTTGTCAAGGTCATCGTCAAGATTGATTCGATTTCCTTGATCAGCTGAGATCAACTTTCAATCTTCCCTTCCTCGAAAAGAGCCAGAACCCAAACGTCACTTACTCTTTCAAGCCTTGCATCGATCCAAGCTTCAGAAATGGCAGAACAAAGCTCATCCCTTGTATGCTGCGTATGCACTCAAACAAAACCCTCGGACGAGTTTACGCCCAATTTCCCTGAACCCGTTTGCAAGGACTGCGAACCATATGGTGATCTCTCCTGGGTTCTCAGAACTCACCAGGTTGCGCTGGACAAGGCCAAACGGCTCCGACAGCGTCTCGTCAACAAGGCGGAGAGGATCAGAGGAATTCTTCAGCCACAGTACGATGTCAAGGTATCGCAGAATGCCGAATTCCTCCGGCTTCTAATTAACCACATGGACCGTTGGTTGAAGTGTTTCGAAGCAGACCTTCTGGATTCGAAGACATTGCTGTCCAAACATTGCGATTCCGACAGAGTCACGCTTGACCGGGGCTACGTTGCAGATGGGCGTCTGGTCCTACTTCAGATAATGAAGGAAACTTATGCCTATAAACAACAATGGGACGAGTTGTTACGCAACAACCAAGAACCAGATGATCTGAATCGTCCAGAGTTCACCAAGGAAATGCTCGTGGATATTATAAAGAGATGCCCTGTTATCCAATATGGCTCATTGTATGATGAGAGAGAATTCGCAAGTTCCAAGCGAGCTAAGCGCTGCTACGATGATGTATGGCTGCTGGAGAATGTTGGGAATCGATTTATTTCCTTCAGCGATGAGCGAAAAGTATCCTTGAAGCGAAGAAAGGTCAAGCTGAGGTACGGTCCAGTCTCGGCGGTTATCACGAGGGAGGACCTTGACCCTGAGCCCGAGCAAGATCTTACTGGTTTCTTCTGTATAAAGCTAGAAAGAACAAAGCAAGAGACAAGCCTTATAATCTTCGCAGCACTCCCTCATGTTATGAGAGTTAATTACGCGCTGCAAAGGGCCTATAGCGATGTCTTTGCTGTATTGAGAATGTTGCCTCTGAGTCAGCTAGGGTGGGCTTACGAGTACCGACATCAGCTTGCGGATCGAGCATGGACGAGGCGTATTATTAAAGGGGGCATGGGTGACGATGATCGCGATATTCTAGCCCGCATAAGTGACTTTTGGACGGATAGGCCCGACCGTGAAGACAGTCTTGACAAGGGAAAGTCGCTTTCCGGAGACGGCGATACAGACAAAAAGTCTAGCGTCCTGGATTCGGGGGATGCTGTCCGCAGTACCCAGTGGCCACGAAGACATCTAGAAAACAGATACCCAGACATATGGGCCAAGACGAAAGACCTTCTTGGAGATTATACAGAGTTCTTCCAGCTTCTTGTCGACGCGAAAGCTAAGGGATGTCTGATAGGCCGCACGATATTCGAGCCTATTATACGACTTGCTTCTCGCGGTAAAGTTCAGAGGCAAGACAACTGTACCGGGGTAGTTGTATCGGACCTCATCTCACTACTGCCCGGCCGCCCGGTCACTAGGTTTTCGTTGCACGATGCGATCGAGGCTGCATGCCGCTTGAGCTCAGAGTACTGTGTGGTCTCTCCAAGCGCTATCGACGAGTTCCTGACTGGAAATCTACGGCCTATTAAGTCCTTTTTCAAAGGTGATATACCAGATGGCCAGTCGCAGCCCCCGGCTTTCTTTTTCCTCCTTCCGCCGGATGAATATCCTCAAGAGTTGGCGGTAACTGCCCTGACTACAACCTATGCTAGCACTATTATTATCGGTATTAAAAACCGAGACATAGGCAAACAATCTACTTTCGAGGCAACTCTAACGAAGATCTGGAAAGGACTCTTCCCGCGTAAGCACGAGATTGCCCGCCGGTTTATGTATCTGGAGCTCGATGGGAGGTCTAAGCCAGAAGTCTCATCCTTGCTGATTAGGTCCGCTCTCGAAATCAGCCAACTCCGTAACTTACCAGACTATTTCGAGCTGGCTGCTGGTAATAATGATAAGGACAAGCGCTTGAGGATTAAGCGTTGGGCTCAGAGGGAAGGATCATCGAATAACTTCCGTGTTCGAGCTGCAGAAGCCATCTGCAGACACTGCAGCTCATTCGGCCCTCTTCTGTTGCTAGGACAAGCTGATCCACGTGTTCGATCGGAAAAATCGACGTCGGATGATGGGGAATCCTCGAAAGACAGCGAGACTAGCGACGAAGATGATAGCTTGGATTCACAGGAAGATGGCACTGCATTGGACTTCGATGCTATCACCACAGACTTCAACAATTTCGACATGAGTGATGCGGCCCGAGTAGAGGAACTTGCCTGCCTTGCATTTGAAAGAAACCCAGCCCAGAGACTTCAGTTTACGATATCGAGCAAAGACGAGTTGGAAATTTTGCATTCACGGGATAGTCCAGACTCACGTACAAGGGGCCAGGAGCACCAGGATGAAGCTGACCTGGATATGAAAGCTCGTATTTCCCGGTATAGACGCTTCTTCCGGCAAATTATATCGAATATCGCTAAATTAAGCCTTATTTCGTATACCCCCAAATTCCGCACGGCCTCTAGCTTGTTTGTGTTCAAAGATTTTGCTTGGCTTCGGTTTATGGCTGCAAATTCGTCAGAGGAAGGTATCAATCGCCTTTTAGCCTTGATGACCGATTTCTCGTTTCATAATAAGGCAATCCAGTACATCCTTGGCGGAAAAACATGGCCAAAAGCAATGTTCGACATGCTCCCCAAGGTCGAGATCAGCCAACCGAAAACATTGTCTATGAATTATGGGCAGTACCTGGGCATAGCTCCCATGCTCAGCGGAGACTACTGGTTTTATGCCGGAAGCGCAACTCAGAAGACGCCTAGTATCGATACCTCCACAGGTATGGCTGCTAGGATGCTCCATGGCCACCAGGCCATTCTCAAAAACGGTCAGGATTGGATCAAAAATGCGAGGCGTAAGGGATACTGCGGAGTACTTTTTATACATGAGAAGATGGCTGCCTCCGATAGACCGTTCTTCGTCTCGATGCTTGAATATCCACAGCAAAAGACGTCACGACTGGACAGTCTGACACGCTGCCTTTGTCTGCTCTCAGAGTGTGTTGCAATGGTCTACTTAGACCTGTGCACAGCAACGTCAAATCTGACAAGTAATTCCAGCCACATACAACGGACTGCATTCCTTGCACCTCTACTTCGACCTCGGGGCCTCCCTTCGCTCCCAGGGTTTGGCGCAAACCGTTGTCTGCCCATTCTGCAAACGTTCAAACCAGGCTGGAGCTTGTCCAGATCCTCCGACAATCGCACAGAACAACTCAACACCCTTTTGAAGGAGCACTGGGAGAAGACCGGCTCAAATGTCCTGACTGACGCACAGGTCGAAAGTATTTGCAAGCGAATGGATTGGAATATCGTAGCTAGAAGAAAACTTGTGGAGAAAAGTTACCAATCCTTCCTTCTGGCACGCGGCCAAGTTTACGAATATACCAAGCCAAGTCCATTGAAGGAGTCCACCTACCTGTGGTCTGCGATAGTCCAGTCTGTCGAGGAGGCTGGTACAGAGTTAGTAGAAAAGGACGGAGCTTATGATCTGGACTTTCGAAGTCTCAATCTCAGCCGAGTATCACAGATAGCGACTGAGGCAGCCCCGCCGGAGATGAAGAACTACTTCACAAAGAGCCGTTGCCATTCGCTCTTGCATGATACTAGCACCCATCGTAGCAAGATGATTCATCGCCTTTTCCTCTTGCCGAGCAATTGGGTCCAATTGCAACAGGGTAACCTAAAGATTGACAACATGCAAAACTATCTGACAGTGGCAACATCCATCAGGCGCAGGATAACGGATGTTACCCACCGCATTATCCACAAGTTTCTAACTGATCACCAGCTGGTAGAGACTAGGAGCGATAAGTCGGTGTGGTTAACTACGAAGCCAGCCTTCGAGAGCACGGAGCTTGTTACACTTGCTATACAACAGCTCCAGGTTGACACGCACATAGACCAGAATGTGCATGTTACGACGGAAGCATGGAGCAGCATTCGACTGGAATATCTTATTGGCGAAGTGATATCAAAGGCATTGCGAACTCTTCTGAACCCGGGTCTGCCCCGAAAGGAATGGAAGGCCTGGTCCCGTTTGACGGAAGTCGAGAGCGGATGGATCAGCGACTATGGACAAGCACAGCCTGAGATGAGTTCCTCCTACAGCGTGTCAGGTCCCGCGGTGTCCATGATCAAAGAGGTGGCCGATCTATCTGCAGAGGAATTGGAAACCCTGAGGAGGATTCTTGCGCAGTCAGTGCGGTCCACTGATGAGACTCTCTCTGGCGAACTGCCACAATTGCCTCAACCGCTACCAGAGAAGGATAAAGCTGTTGATAATGGGTTCTTCCGGATCCTGGATCGTGATGGTCAATATCATAAGAGCGAGATCTTTAAGATTACTAGTCGTCCTCGTATACAAAAGACTAGCAAAACACCACCACCGGGCACAGCAGACTATCTAGAGGGCTGGGAGATTATTCCCACCGAGTCAGAAGGCCTTGAATGTGGTCTCTTTGCTTTGGTGCACAGCTTGGAGCACCAGATGCCGAACTTGACGACACCCACAACGTCGGACCTTAGAGACATCGTGAACGGGCAATTAATCACTGGCCGAGCCCTTGAAGCGGGTGTCGCCCACCACACCAACAACTTCGCAGTCGACCAACTCGCTGCCGCGCTGATGGAATGGGGGGACTCTATAGGCACAGCGCTGCAACTAGGATACATCACCCCGACTGGGCCGCCAGTGGTGGTATTCCCTGAGTCCGGCCGCAGCACCCTGTGGATTTTCAATGACGAGGCTGAGGCATCTGGACCTGACACGATAAATCACTACTCAGGCCTAAAGCCCCGTATTGTCGCCGACAGCCAGCCGCAACTAGCCATGAAGAGGACGCACATACGGTTCGGAATCCATGCAAAGGACTTCCCCAGCGAGCAAGAGTGTCCAAGATGTGAGTCGAAGGCTTTCTACAAGTTAGCAAATACCTTCCGCCAACACATCAAGCATTGTCCGGGTCGATGTTATGCATGCCAGAGGAACGAGCGGCCATGCGAAAAGAGCAATCCGTCCAAGAGGCAATGCGTACCATGTCAGGAAATGGGATGCTTATGTGAGAGTTTTTCACACATCGATGAGGTACCCTTCAGCTCATGCGACAAATGCGGCAGACAACAACCCTTCGAAAGAGATCACGTTTCTCAATGCTCGGGCAAATGTCAACGCTGCGACGAGGAGAACTTGATCTGTTACAAAGATCAAGGCAATACTCAATGCGTAACATGCACAGAAGCCGGTGTAACTTGCCCCAAGAACTTTCCGCATTATCGGGGAACTGCTGCCACGTGCGAATATTGCGGTAGCGAAGTGAACTTTCTTAAGATACATTTGGGTGTATGTCGGGGAAAGTGCTCCAGCTGCGAAACAAATGGCACAAAGTGTGAGAAAAATCGGACTTCTACTTGCCGGCCGTGCAAACAGAAGGGAATCCCCTGCATCATGCCAGAGCCCGTCACGCGCACCTGCCCAAAATGCGAATTCACGAGAACCTATATCGCGCCTTGTCAAGTTGACATTCACGAGGAAAGCTGCCTCGGACGATGTGATCCGTGCGTCGAGGCCGGCATACCTTGCGAGAACGCGACGAAGCTCAAGGCATGCACGGCGTGCGTTGAGAAGGGTGACCCTGCAGGCTGTAAGGGACGCTCACACCAACAGGCCTCGAAAATCTCGACAATTTGTCCACACTGTCTTGGCGACTTTGGAAAAACAATCTACTACGGTCACTTTAAGGTTTGCAGAGGTCAGTGTACGACCTGCAAGGAAAAAGGCCGGGCATGCACTGGGCGACATCGTACTGGGCACAGCTGTAAACCTTGTAGGGAGGAGAGGTTAAGGTGCTCTTTTAGCCTCGGGTAAGAGATGTCGACTGATACTACAAAAGAAGGCTGCAAGGGGATGTATGGAGGAAGAAACAAATATACTAATAAAACTAGCTAGCTAGATATTTTAAGAATTAATCAAGTTTATATAACTATATAATTCGGACCCTTGGGTGCACTACATTCTGTGAAATATAATGACTCCTAGTTTCCCCAAGTAGGATACATCTTAAACGGCATGAACGCTATTGCAGTTCTGACATTTCTCCCTCTTCTTCATCTCCTCAGACGACATCCAGGCCCGAGTGAGCTTGGACGTCAGCAGCGAAGCCGCGAAATCCTCCCGAGTCTTGCGATCCGGACCGTCGGCGCCCTCCTCCGCCTCGTCGTCCTCCTCGTCGTTGCGGGCGTTGACGCTAAAGTACCGCGACTGGACCTCCTGCTCGCCCAGCCGCCTGGCCACGTCGTTGGCCTCGTTGAGGGAGACGAGGCGGCGGCGGCTGCTGGGGTCCCCCCCCATGGCCGTGCTGCAGACGTCCCAGATGACCAGCTGGGCGACGTCCCTCTCGAGGCGCTTGATCTGGCAGTTGTCCACGGCGCCCGTCGACGCGAGGAGCTCGGGGAGGAGCTCGGGCTTGTAGTCGCCGCTGAGGCCGAGGCCCCTCAGCTGGGTCTTGAGGGAGTCCCCCGGGGCGAGCCTGTCGCCGTACCGGGTCGACAGCTCGATCTTCTTCTGCTCCCTGCGGATCTTCTCGCTGAAGTCGACGTTGGACAGCCGGATGTCGCCCGGCTTGGAGAACTGGGAGGAGGTGAGGCTGTCGTAGGCCGCCTCGGCGGGGGTGCGGCCGACGGCGTTCTCGCGGTAGAGGAGGCTCGGCTGGAAGTCGACGAGGGCCTTGGAGATGGAGACGTGGTGCTTCATCACGGCGGAGTGGAGGCAGGTGTCGCCGGCCCCGTTGAGCATGTCCAGCCCCTGGCCGCCGGAGTACTTGAGCAGGAGCTGGAGGGTCTCGAGGACCTCCTTCTCCCGCAGCTCGACCACCTCGGAATAGTTGTTGTGGTAGTAGTAGCGACGGTTGTTGGTCTGGACGTCGGCACCCACGATCCTGGAGACCCATGCTTGCAGAGGGGCCGTGCCGGCCTCTGACAGGTTCTTGCGCTGCTGGAAAAGGTGTGCTCGCAGATCGGGGTCGAAGAGGTCCAGGAGAGTCTGGAGCTTGGACGGGGTGGTGTTCTGCGCCAGTGCCATGTGGATGATGTTCTCGCCCTTGGAGTTGCGGACGGACTGGTCGGCGTTGCCTTGGATTAGGATCCTGGCAAAGTCGACGCGGCCGAGACGGCAGGCGACCATCAGGGGAGTGTCGCCGTTGGTTGACTTCTTCTCTACGGCACCCGGGCAGGTTTGGATAAGATATTCAAGAAGCTCGTTGGCAGGTTCGCCAGGCTCGGCCAGCACGGCGCAGTGAATGACGAGGTCCTCTGGAGGGTTTGTTAGCTCTACTTCCATATATCGCAGGTGTGTAAGGAGAATGAAGTCTCACCGTCGGCTCCGAGCCATTTTGAGATGGCCCTGTCAAACCCACCGGGACTGTCCTTGAGGTGGGTGAGGCGGGAGTCACTCTTTGCAGCCTTGGATTTCCCAAATTCGGCATACAGCCGGTGAGGGGCGTCGCTGAGGAAGAATTCGACGCTCTCGATACTGCCGCCGAGGGCCGCATGCAGAAGAGGCGGTGTTTTCATGCCACTCGTTCTGACGACGCTGTTTCTACCGGCCGTGGCCCAATCCTTTCTATATTGATATGTCAGTAACTGTGTGGACTTTGATAATCCGGACGAAAGAAAAGTATTCCAAATGGGAAAGAAAACAAAACATACCTCTTCTTTCCATAGACAGTCAAACCCTGGTAGAATCTTGGCTTCTCCTGTAGTTCTACGCCACTTTTCTTCACGAGGTGGTCGAGCGGAATTCCCGCGCCCGTGCGTTTGATGACGAGGCCGAGCAATTCTGTCTTCCCGTGCTCAATAGCCCATTGAAGTTCGCTCTGAGGGAAGACGAAAGCACCGGAAGGCTCATCTGTATTGGTGTCCGAGTCCTCGAACTTGTGAGCCGCCCAACGCTGGGCCCAATCAAGGAGAAGCTTGAGGCCAGGCATGTCATCCTTCTCAAAGCACTGCTGAAGAGGTGTACTCCTGCTTACGCCGACCCACTGAAGTAGAACCGTCAGAGGCCTGACATTGGAGTTGACCTTCATAGACACATGGCCGATGTCGTCGATGGTGAACTTCTGGTTGATCTTCTCGCTCACGATCTGGGGATCGTCATTTTCGGATTCGGATTCCGCACATGAATCCTCGTAGCTCTCTTCGTCCTCGTTTTCCGTGTTCAGCTTGTACCGCACCTTGTCCTTCTCAGGGGGCGACCATTGAGCCTTGACAATCTCGAGGATGGCTTCGGCAACCTCATAGTGTCCCCTGAAAAAGGCCAGACCGAATGGACTGTTGTTGAGGTCATCGGCAATAGCGATCTTCAACGGAGGCTGTTCCTGGCCTTCTCCCCATGCTTGCAAGGTCAGAGCCTTGATTGTCTCGATGTCGCCACTCCAGGCCGCTTCCAAACTATTTCATGTGTTAGCGGGTCAAGCAAGTCTAAACGAGTACAACTCAATGCGATGGACAGTACTTACAGCCTGAGATAGCCTTCCTTGCGCACCTCCGTGATACCGTCATTGTCTCGGAAGTTGAAGGTGAACTTGTAGGGCTTAATTGGCTCCTGGTTGGAAACAGCCGAAGAGTTGAGGGTTATACCGGTCTTGATGTCGGGATGTAGCTGTTCAAATGTCTTTGCTCCCTTTGCAACAAGAGCATCCTCCAGCCTTTTGTATCCAGCAATCATTTCATCAAGAAACTGCTCCTTCTCATCTCTTCCCTCTGCTGCGTTGAGTTTCTCTAATAGATCTTCGTAGTTCTTTATATGCTTGTCATTGTTCTCTTTTAGATTCTGGATGTCCTTGGATACGACATGGTGCTGGTACGTTCCAGGTTCGAGACTCTCAAGATAAGTGTCGATCCCGGGCTGGAACTGGGGCTTCACAATGCCAGTCTTGGTGCGTTCTTTCTGGAGTGTCTTCAAGGATCTGCGCACCATATCCAGGACTGCAGTGCCCTTGTTGCTGTTGCGATAATACTGATGCTGCATGAGATTATAGGTTGCAGGAGTTAGAGCATTGAAATCAGCCCCAGCCTCAAGGAGCTCAATCGCCACCTCGGGATTGGCGTTCTGCACAGCAGCAATGATGGGCTGGGCCATCCGGGTGTACATCTGCTGGTTCTGCTCCAGGCTGCTCAACCTGCTCGATTGTGTCGGCGATACCTTGGCTGCCTTGAGCCATGACTCATACTCAATGTTTGATTCTGCGCCGGCATTGAGCAGCTTCAGGATCAAGATTGAGTCTCCTTGCTCGATGGCGGTGTGTAGGGGGGAAATCGCGCTGGAATCCCAGTAGTATCCTGCGAACACGAGGTGGTTGATGGCCGTCTTCACGCCCATCTGATCATTCTCGAGAAGGGAATCGACCAGCTCGCTCCTACCGCTCTGGACGTATCGGAAGAAAGCAGTGGCTCCATTCGTCTCAGCCTGTGACGACACTGCTCCGAGGCTCAACAGGAGCTTGGCCATTGACTTTGCCTGCTCGAGAGGCAGCGTCAACGCCAGGGTGAGAGTGAGAATTGCCCCTGTGTCAGTATCGTTGCTGGATAAGAACTTGACGGGGAGAATCGAGTCAGCTCCGTAGTCGCAAAGGAGACGTACAGCATCCTCGTGGCCGCCGGCGATGGCGAGGTGAAGGGGAGAGCATCGCACATCCCACGCGAGAACGTCGATCTGGTAATAGTCTGGCTCGTCATCCGGAACATCAAGATCATCCAAATCGGTAGCGTCCTTGCCGTCTTTGATGTTGACAAATGAGCCCGTCACAATCGAGTGCGCGTCGGTGTTGGTTTGCTCGTTCTCAATGAGCTCCCCGTCCGAGTCGTCATCGGCTTCCTCCTCCTCCTCGTCTTTCTCGTCATTAGCCTCTTCAGTATTCTCCGCGCCCGAATTCTCATCGGCGTTGCCCTTTGCTGCTAGACGCTTCCTGTCGCGGCGCTCCTCTTCGGCTTCCTCATTCTCAATGCTCTTCTCCATCAGTATTTTGATGATTTCAAGATGGCCCCTGGAGGCAGCCAGGTGCAGGGCT